ATTATATACCATCAACACCATCACCATCATCATCGTCAGCATCATCACGACCACCATCATCATCAACAGCTTCATCATCATCATCATCATCATCAGCACCATCAGCATCATCAGTATTATCACCACCATGATCATCATCAACCTTATCATTCGCATCATCAGAGGCATCATCACCATCATCGTGATCATGATCAGTATCACCATCACAATCACAATCACAATCAGCATCGTCATCATCGTTATCAGTACCCCCCTCATCATCACCACCATCATGATCAGCATATTCATCAACACCATCGGCACAAGCATCATCAGCACCATCAGCATTATCATCATTGCCAACACGATCATCAGCATGTTCATCATCACCATCAGAATCATCATCATCCGCCTCATTACACATCGTCCCCGTCATTTTCATTATCACACCATCATCAGCACCATCAACATCATCAGGGGCATCACCGACATTATCAACTTCATCAGCATCAGCATCATCATCACCATCATCAGTATCATCATGAACATCATCATCGTCAGCATGATCAACATCACCATTATCATCATCATCATCGGCAGCCACATAATCATCATCACCAGCATCATCAGCATCATCAGCACCATCAACATCATCAAAATCACCATCATCATCATAATCATCATCAGCATCATCATCATCTTGCTCGTCCTTGTCATCAGCTGCTCGCTCGTCCTCCCTCTGGCAGCTCGCTCTCCACATCCTCCATCCTCGCACTCCTGGGCAGGAGCCCCTTCTGCGGGTGGAGTTGTCGCGCGAGTGGGGGTCGTGAGCAGCAGGCCTAAGAACCAGGATCGGTGCCACCTTGCTGCCTGGGACAAGTGTAGGAGTACAACTGACGCCTCCCAATCTGCGGGAGAGACCCGCAAGCGCGGGAGAGCGACGGCACCGTCCGCGGTCGACGCCAGATCCCTGACATTCATCAGGCCCCCCGAGTTTCTAGAAACTCATTCGTCTCTTGAAACTCAGGTCCTTGCGACTCCAAAGTGCTTTAACTCCCGGGTGGGGCGGGGGACGGGGCGGGACACTCAGGCGCTCGAGATTCTGGAGACTCAGGCCTGACGGTGGGGGGGGCCTTTGCGGCGAGCTAGGCAGGGGATCAGGGGAGGACCAGGCCGTCTCGGGGAGCGACGGCCAGTACACGCATCGATCAGCGAAACAGACGGGGGACTGCATCAGCACACTGCGAATGCGAATATCGAGCGAACTAATGAAGAAACCCTCAATCGACTTGTCTGGGTGGGCTCAATGCCCGAGCATCGATCCTCGCAACGGGGTGACGACGGGGCGGCAGCGGCGGAGCCAAGAGTCCCCGAACTCGCACCCAGGCCATTCCAGAGCAAATCAAAACCCCTTCGTGCGAGCACTGCTTGGGGACAAGCGTCCCCGAAACGTCCGTCCTGACCTCCTCGACACCCGATCCTCCGCCACACCCGGCGAGACCCGTCTCCCTCCTCCGCCTTGAATGCTCGCCACCCCTCCTCCTCCTCCTCCTCCTCCTCCTCCTCCTCCTCTTCCTTCTTCTCCTCCTCCTCCTTCTCCTCCTCCTCCTCCTGCTCGACTCCTCGTTTCGGCCGCCGATCCACCTCATCCTGCTTGAAAAGTCGCCCACTCGCCTCCTCGAACCTCGATCCCCTGCCTCGCCAAGAAGGCCCGGTCAGTCTGTGCGCGGTGTGAGACGATGACCACGTCGACGGCGACGAGGACGATGGAAACGGCGAGGCCGACGACGGAGCCCCGCCGGCACGAACCGACCAGCCCGTGCACTGCGCGCAACGACGACGCAGGAGGGCTACGGCGACAGGGACGGCGACGACGAAGACGGCGAGGACGGCGAGGACGAAGACGGCGAGGCCGGGGCCGGCGACGGCGACGAGGACGACGAGGCGCAGGTCCCAGGACGACCACGACATCAACGACGACGACGACAATGACGTCGACGGCGGCGACGACGCCCCGCCCGCGGGGCCCGGTCAGTCTGTGCACGGTGCGCGGGCCAAGCGCGGCAAAGGCCTGCGGCACGTGCGTCCGGCCGGCGCCGAGCGCGTGAGCGTCAGCCTGCAAAGCGGCGCGCGGCGCGAGGCGGGCGCCCGCCGATTAGCTGGCGCCGGCGTCGACGTCGTCGTAGGCATCGACGTGGTCGTGGTCGTGGCCGCCATCGTGGCCTCTGTCGGCTCCGTCATCGGCTCCGTCGTTGGCGTGGCCGTGGTCGTCGACGTCGGCGTCGGCGCCAACGTCGGTGTCGTCGAGATCGTCTCCACCGCGGCCGTCGTCGACGTGTCCGCGGTTCGAGAATCGAGACTTTGAAACGTTTGGTGTCGCTTTTGGGCATCTATGGAAACGGTTCCGGGAGCTCTCGCTTGGACGTCTCTGACAACGAAGCTTCCGCTAGAAAGCGGGCTGTATTCCCAATGTGAGTGGCTGAAGGCCTGGCTGCGACGACAACGGCTCCCGCTCGGAAGCTCCTCGCGAATTGCTCCACGACTCCCTGGCCAGAGAGGCCCCCCCGAGGCTGCAGACTTCCTCGCAAGTTACTTACATTGGTGAAGGCCCAGCTACGACGATTGAGGCTTCCGTCCAATTCTTGCTCGCAATATATTCGAGACGCCCTGTGGCTCGAGACTTCCTCGCACTCCTCGTAGGTCAGTGCAGGCCCAGCTGACAACGGGCCCCGCCCGATACTTCCTCGCAGTATACTCGCGTGCGCCCCGAACATACGCATCATCATCCAGGAGCGGCGCTCTCGGCCGAGATTTCCTTGCAAATATCCAACTATGTTAGGGGGGGAAGCAAACCTACCTCGCTTTTGCCCACTCTCGCTTCCAAGAGATACCAAACGATGCCAAACTACGGCCTCTGCTGGTCCGACCGCTTGACGAGGAGGCGCGTGGTACGACTTGGCTTTGCCTGAAAGCGAAAGCGGGGTAGGCAATTCACGCTCTGATACGTGGAAGCCCAGCTAAGACGACAACGGCTCCCGCTCGATGCTTCCTGACAATCTACTCTGAGACGCCCCAGCAGCCTGTAGACTCAGGAACGGCGCTCTTGACCAAGACTTCGGTGGATGGTTCCCAAGACATCGTAGGTCGCCAAAAAATCTGAAACAATCTGAAATACTCTGAGCGAGAGGGAAAGATAGCAGACACCTTTTCAGTACATGACAAGCTGCACTCCTGGAAGGGGGTCGACGGACCCCCTTCCCCTTGAACCCAAACGTTTAAGGAAAAGGGGTCCCGGGTTCTTAGCTAAGCACGCATAGAACTTGAAAGCGCTCCCTGCGCTTTCAGATTCACACTGGTCGTAGTCCACTGCTTAGAACCCGATGAAGTCCTCGCATCTCCATGCACATGCACTGCCCTGTCGGTGGTCTGGGCCTGGTATACCTCCTGGGCCTCACGGATCCACCGATAGGCCTCGGGCTCGTAGTTGAGGTCGTCATCCTCGTAGTCGTGCTTGGGACTACCCGTGCAGTCCATCTCCAGTCCTGAAAAACAACACTCCGCCGAATAGGCATAAGTAGGGTCGCCCTTCTTCTTCCTCATCTGTCGCTCTTGTTCCCGTCGGCGTAGCGCGATGCTGTCCGCAGTGATGCCCTACTCGCCCAACTCCAGGGCATGTCGAAGTAACGCGCTCTCGCCCTTGCGCTTGGTGAGCGGGTCGGTCAGCTGACTTGTACCCTCGATCCATCGTAGATGAACTTGAGGCCGCTGCATCGCTGAGCGCACGATGGCCACGTCGATTGCTGCCCTTTTGTCCTCCGCCAGTCCCGCCTCCGGATAGGTAGCGTGATCGTAACCGCCTCTGGAGCCGGTCACACTGATGACGGGGAAACGACCAGCGAGTAGGTAGGGACGCATCAGGTCGAACCCGGAGTCTACGATCTCTAGCAGCATAGTCCTGATGAGCTCCGCCATAGCCATACCCTCCGATATGGCCAGCGTCTCCGCACCAATCCGGTGAGCACATTTCCTCTTCAATTTGTGACTCTTCCAAGATTGGATGGAGATGGTGGCCGCTTCGCCCTTCAAGATCTTACGCTGCGTAGCGAACACGATGCATCCTGCTTGCGAGGCCCCATCCCGTGCATTGGCCCAGGCCGCGTCATTGAAGGCAGCGAAGGCGAGCTCGTGAAAAGGTATGTGTCGTACCATGAGTGTTACGTCGCAAAACTCCTTGGCCATGCGGCCGATACGATTTGCTTCCAGCAAGTCGCCCACAGTGAGATTCGGCATTTTTTCCTGCACGAGAGAGACAGGACCCGAGAGGTCGGGGCGACTCTCCCGCGCCAGGAAGGAGATGGAGCCGCGCAGGCTCCGTGCCTGATGCAGCTCTGCTGGCGTCGCTGGTGACTGAGGCGTTTTACGCCTCTCTGTGGCGATGTCGATAAGTTGAATATTGACGGAGCTCTGGCGTTGAGTGATGGTGATCTCCGTGTTGTCGTCGCTCTGGTCGAACTCCTTGCCTGTGTACTCCCCCTTCTTGAGACGCCAGGCCCCGAAGGGGAACTTCTGACGCAACTTCTTGCAGGCCTCATCGAACTTCTGGTCGCCACCGCCCACAATGTCGTCCACCGCAAGGCCCATGACGCCGCGCAAGCCCTCTTCGTCCCTGAGGTAGAAGACGCAGCCGTCAAAGATGGAGCACTGAAAACCGATTTCTTTGGCAAGAATTGTGAAAGAGGCCAGCCATTGGACGGGGGCGTCTCCGAGTCCATATACTGCCTTGAGTAACTCCACCAACGAGCCCGTTTCCACGTCTGGTATACCCGTCCGTGGTAGTTCCACAAAAAGCCTGCCCTGCGACCTGTCCAGTGGGTCTCCTGCTGTGAAGGCCGACGTGATGTCTGCAAGCTGCAGCGTCCACTTATGGGTGCACAAGATTTGCAGGATGAGGAAAACCGAATCCTTACCCACGACTGGGCTGTAGGTCTCCAGCTCCGATAGGTCAGGGTCGGTGTGTCCCTGGACGGTCCATCGCGCCTTGGCCATCCTCCAGTCGTCGCCACTCATGCAGAGCAAGGGCTTTTGCTCGCGTCGGTCTCGTTGGGGTCGCCGTCCTTGTCCGTAAGGACCCACCTGGAGCCCATGATCCGAGTGGTCAATGCAGGAACCTGTCGAACTCGTTCTGCCTCTTCTGGAGGGAGAACCCGTACTGCACCCGCCTTCTGTATGTTGCCCCACTCCCTGCGCTTGGCTGAGATGTACGGCTGGTACTTGTAGGTGTTCACAAGAGACTTCTCCGTGACCTCCTTCGTCCTCGTTGAGCTGCACTAGTCAACAGAGCGCTGGTGGCCCCCTGAGCTTTTTACCTCCTTTTTTCTTGGGAGGAGCCTGCTGGTCCTCCTGGATCTTCTCCTCGATGGTCGCGATACGTTGTGCCGCCGGTATCGCCGCGCCAGGGTTAACTAGAGCCTGCTTGATGGTGATCGGTACATCGTCGAGGTGATCGCAGTACTGAGTTTCCCATGGGGATGGGATCTGACTTCGCATCGGAGGAGTGCTCGATCTCCACCGTCGGTGGCTCCAGGGAGGCCGCTGGTTGATCATCCCCTGCTGACTCTGGGGGTGCTGTCTGAGGTACGTCGTCCTGGTCCTCCTCAGCTGGTGAGGGCTGCTTGGCCAGGTCCTCGTACTTGCGCCTTCCGCGGTTCTCGGTGCTCACCTCCTCCTTCATCGTGTGGTCGATCTGCTCCCGGACGGATGTCTCCCCCTCAATGGCGTGTCGAAGCTGTTCTGGTGAGCATTTCAGTAGCCCACCCTGGTACGAGCGCCACACCGTGCTTGGCAGCTCAGTCTGGATGACTCTGGCTGGGCCATGCCAAGAGCTAACGGGGAGTTTGTCCGTACTACTCTTCCAGAACTAGCAGCGATCTCCAGGCTGACCAGTAGTACCCCTCGGCGGTCGAGTCCTTCTATTGAGAGCTCGTCGCCACTTCTCGGAGCACTCCGCCTCGATGTACGCTGCCATGGCTGCCTTGCGCATGTCAATGCTCCTGGCAAGCTCGGTGCCCCCATTCATGGCTCGAGATACCGTCGCCAAGCTCGGCGAGCCCTCCTCCATGATTTTTTCTGGTAGTTGAAATGGTCTTCCAAAAACTCTCTGATAAGGCGTGAAACCCCCACGTCGCACACTTTCTCCAATCGCCACGTTGACTGAGTCGACCAGCTCGCAGAAGTCGTCCCAGTTCTTGGTGTTGAACTTCTGCCTTGTGCGGTAGAAGGTCTCCTTCCAGGTCCCCCCAGCCCTCTCAGTCTTGCCTGCCTGCCATGGCGAGGTAGCGCTCGCCACCTTCACCTCGGTGCCGTCTCCTTCAGCTGCGTCTGGAAACTCGCCCGTTGAAGAACCTTTCTCGCCGTCTATCACGATGATCCTGGGAGCGCCGTGCATCCGCTACCAGAAAGCACGATAATGTCGTCTGATCTGCTGACCTTGTCTGCGCGGTAGCGGTGCCACGACTTGGCGCCCCGCCCCGTGACACGCGATGTTGAGCATCGGCACATTGGTGGTGTTCTCGGGACCTAGAACGAAGAAGATGTCCATGCCGATGACGTCGTTGAACTGGCGGGTTGAAGGGGGCCTTGGACGGTTTTGGCCAGCCTGGGACGCCTGTTTGCCTCGCAGCTTGGACAGACCAGATGCTGCGCGGCCTCGGTAGAGACCTGACGAGCCTTGCCGCACTTCAAACCCATCACCAGATTCTCGTTACTGCAGTGACCCATGTTCTCGTGTATCTTCTGTACCTGCTGCTTGGCATGAGGATCCGTGCCCCTCTCGTCCTTGTTGTTGGAGACGGGCGCTGTACAACAAGACGCACGCTGCAAGCTTGAATTGTCTTCGTCCATCTTCGTCTCGACGATCGCCAGCTCGTTCATCTTGGCCTTCACGATAGCTCGTGCCAGAGCTCCAGTAAGCTCCTGCAGGGGTATCGGCACGCCCCCCAGCTTGTTCTGCAGAGAGCCCTGCACGAACTCCTGGCTCAGCATCTTCCCGTACTCTGATGCCTGGCCAGATAGGTTGGTCAAACAGGCCCGTCCTCGTGCATTAGCTTTCCCCGATAAGACCTCGGGAAGTCGCCGCAGCTTCTGGGTGAGTTGGTCGTCCCATTCTCGAGAGCTCTCCTCCTGCTCGTAGTAGAAGCACCTGCCGTTAATCGCCTGCTGGGTCGCCATGTCCGACATGGAGGTCGCCACGTCCCTGCCGATCTTCTCCTTGAGCTTCTTGTTGTAGATGTCCTCGGGCGGCTTGATGATCACGAGTAGGGGGCTCGCACCCTTGATCATGTTCCAAGCCTCTTTCTGCCCGCTCCTCACTAGTAAGTGATGTCCTGCCACGACCATCACGTGTTTCTGCTCTGTAGTTTCGCGCAAGGGAACCCCACCAGTCTCCATCATATCGTCGCCATCGTGCACCTGCTCGTCTAGCTGGCCGAGGAAAGCGGTGCACTCTGGGATCGCGTCCTCCATGGCCTCCCTCATTTTGTCTGTTTTGCCTAACTCCTTGAGCACCTTGCTGATCTTCCGCTCCTCCTCCTCGGTCAGCTCGTCTGCTGGTCGCTGATGTCCGCCCCGAGGTGGCCGCGCAGGTTCTCCACCAGCTGGTTGGTCGTTGCGTTGGCGTTCTCGTCCTGCAGCAGCTCGTTCAGGGCGATCAGAGCCTTGCTCCGAGGTGACTGGTCCTGCACTTCCTCGCCCAGCGTCTCCCGCTCCTCCTGCTCGGCCGTATCCGTCAGACCCTCGATCTGCTCATCCGGCTTTGCAGTTGGACCTCCCGACTGCCTCGAGGTCGATCTGGCTCCCGATCGCGGTCTCATCTTGGCCCTCGGCGCGCTGCTGCGTGTCGAAGGCTCTTGTGGAGTTTCCGACGAGGTCCATGATTTCGGTGCTCGAGGTTGCCAACCCTTGATCTCCGCCTCCAGCATCTTGCACTCCTCGAGCTGCTCGCTGATCTCCTTCATGCTGGGGGCCCCCATGGGGTAGAACTCCACGTGTAGCCTGCATCCGCTGCGCTGGCTCCAGAACGCTCTCGCATTCCCGCCGTGGTGAGTGAACTCGTGAAGGCAGGAATGCTCCTTCTTGGGGTCGTGATCTCTGGCCCTCGCGCCCGCAGCTGGGGTCCGAGGTCCTTGGTTCTCCACGCCGTAGTAGCGACGCATCATCACTCCTGTGGGCGGTCGGCTCTCCGAGCTGACCTCGTGCCAGGGCCACTTGAACTTCGGCGCCGTCGTCTTGGCCTGGCTCTTGTTGGCGTCCGCCTGCCGCTCCCTCAGCGGCGACACCTTCTGCTGCATGAAAGAGGACGAGTGCTGCGAGCGCTCGTCGCATGACATGGAAGTATGGAAGTAAATCCGAAACGTTCTGCGAGTCCGGCTCGAGCCTACCTGCTGACGGAACTTGACGATGTTGTCATTTATGTTGTTCAGGTGCTTGTTGGTGATGCTGTTCTCGTCATGTATGCTGTTCCCAGGCCTGCTGTTGATGCTGCTCACGGCGTTTATGGTGTTCACGTGCTTGCTGTTGGTGCGGTTCCAGTGCTTGTTACTGTCGATTCTCTGCTTGTTAACTTGAACCTTCTGTTTATGCCTTCCTCCTGGTAATCCTCCCCCTTGCAGTAGTCTTGCTATGTGTGCTGCTTTTTTGTCTGGCGTTCTCTGCTGTCCTCCTGCTTTCTGCCTATTGCTTTGTTCCAACTCCAACACTTGAAAACATGCAGCTTCTTCCCTTCTGATCCTCACTGTCGTTTAAGAGGTCCTCGGAGATGAGGAAGGTGGAGGGATGCTTATACTCGGTCCTGGAACTGGAAATCCATAGAAACCTCCTTTGTGCGCAGTGCCCAGCCTTCAGGCTTACCCCACTGTCTCGTGAAGTTATCCAGCTGCAGCCAAAAGTCCCCCCCTCCAGCGTGCGCCAAGGGGAGTCGCAGGCTCTGTTCAGGCAGATCCAGCTCCGACTGAAATGCATGGAGAGACGCATTCAGCTCCACAACACATGCCTTAGACAACAAAAGTGGAGCCGCCCCCTGCACCAAGCGCACAAAAATGATGCCGACAAAGTCGCCCAGCATGATCGGGATGATCACCCCGTCCGTCGCCGCGCAGATCTGGTCATTGCCGAACCTGTACTTCTTATGGTACGGGATCGCATACAGCGAGATGCCGTGCTCCTTCTTGTAGTGCGCCTCCCACTTCGCGTAGGTGTCCAGCCCCATCACGTTGAAACCACAGGCCGTGTCGAGTGCCCCCCAGCCTGGCTTGCCCGACGTCTTGATGTCGATCGCCAGGTTGATGTGCTCAACCAGGTTCGACCTTGACGCCATCTTCGCCTCTGTCGCTATGTAGCTGCAGATCTCGTCGTCCTGCAGCACCGTCATCGCAATGAAACCTCCCGTCGGCTTGTTCTTATTCTTCGGATTGTCGGGGCACGTTCGATGCCAGTGTTCAACCTTCTTACATATGCCGCACTTCGTGCGCTTTTTGATGTCCTCTATCTTGTCGTTGAGCTTCTTGCCGTCCTGCAGGTTGCGGAGCCCCCGATTGGTCTTCTTGTCCGCCACGAACACCCGTGCCTCGCCCCACGTCCGCGGCTTCGTCGGTGGTGGGACGATGGCCGCGAGGCAGTCGAGCGCCTGGACCTCCGTGAGGATCCGTTCTCCATCGTCAGCTGGTTCTTGTCCGTCGGGTGTTCCACCGTCGTCGATCCCGAGCAGGTTGGCCATCGCGTCGTGCACGGCACTCTCGGCTTCCCCATCCTCGGACATCAGGGGCTCGTCCTCGTCATTTCCCGCCAAGTATGCCCCTTTTGTCGGTGTGCTCTTCTCGGTGACCGTGCTGTCGTCCGTCACCCGCTTCAGAATCGAGGCCAGCTTGTTGACGTTGTAGTCGTAGCCCGTCTGGATGAGAACCTGGTTCCTTTCCGTCTTGGCCAGACCCGCTCCTCTCAATAGCAAGAAACCCATGACCGTGTCGTTCAGTGCGTTGGGGAGTAGCCATTCTAACTCCTTCTGCTCTGCTCGTACTCGATTGGTGAACTTCATCAGCGTCTCTTCTCTCGCCCGAGGAGCCGCGAAGAGAATCTTTTCCAGCTGCTGGAAGGTCTCCGCGTCTGCCTCTGGGAACGCCAGCGTGTCCAGTGCCAAAATGACTGCTTGTAAACCACCTGCGTGCTGTATCGAACCTGGTCGTAGGTGCCGTGTCGCAGTCGCCGCCTCCTTGGTCAAGTGCAGCAGCAGGGTCTCGCCCTGCTCCTCGGGCGACACTGCCGTCAATCTGCTCCATCTGTCTATGGCCAGCCGTTTCTCCGGCCACTCGCTGAGGTCTTTTCCATCCCAGGTCGGGCAAGGTGGGTCTTTTCCTTTTCGGCCTCCACGTCGCTGGTCGTGTTGCTCGTACTCCCCGCCCGACTCGAGTCTTCCGTGCACCTGCGCCATCATCTTCTTCACTCTTCTCTGGTGTGCCGAACCCTCTCGACTGCACTGACTTCTCTGAGTCCGTCTCGGAGCCGCCTGAGCAGCCCTTACCTTTCAACTCGTGCTTGCCTGCCGACCCCCCCGGGTCGTCGTCCTCGCTTGGCCACCTCCAAGCACCCCAGTTGGACATCTGACTCCATGTTCGATCCCAGGATACTGAGCTGTCGCTCCACGTCTTCCAGGGGTCCCAAGTGTCGCCCTTCATGCTGTCGTGCTGTCCGCTTCGCTGCCCTCTCGTTCTCGACTGTGCCCATCTCAGCTTCTCCCCATCGCCCTCATCATTCTCCTGAGGTCCGTCTTCGACACGTTCCCACGTAATATCATCACGATTGCCGTCGTAGCCGTCGCTCCGCTTACCACATGTGGATGGTTCCCAAGACATCGTAGGTCGCCAAGATCTCTGAAACAATCTGAAATACTCTGAACGAGAGGGAAAGATAGCAGACACCTTTTCAGTACATGATAAGCTGCACTCCTGGAGTGGGGGTCGACGGACCCCCTTCCCCTTGAACCCAAACGGTTAAGGAACAGGAGTCTCGGGTTCTTAGTTAAGCACGCATAGCACTTGAAAGCGCTCCCTGCGCTTTCAGATTCACAACTTCCTCGCAACTCGCTCAAGTTGATCCTTCTCCCGCGGGCGCGTTGGCTCGAATGACGACCACGGCACCGCGGTGCGCACTCAGAGTGCACTGCTCAATGCGCCTCCCAAGTGCCGGCATGAGAGGAAGCGCCCCAAGAAGGGATCTGGCTCATCGACGTAGCGGGCGGGTACAAGGAAGAGGGGTAAACAAAGAAAGGACAACTCAGTCTGTTAGATCACATGCTCCTATGGTGACGGTTGTCGTTGTTGCCGTCCTCATCCAAGTCTCCATCAAAGATCGTCACATATCGAAGTTTCTGGGCGGTTCTAAGTCTGTTTAGGCCCCTGGAAGGATACAAGGGTGCCCCTGGGAACCTCCCGGGGCCAAGATTTCGGACAGGCGGCACCGCCTCCGAGAGGGAGGGGGGGCGGGAGAGAGGCCCCGACACATTTTCTGCAAGGGCCCCACCAGGGCCTGCCGCGGGCCCCGTGCGCGGCGGGGCGCACGCGCTCGGGTGAGGGCTGCCGCATGTGAGCCTGCGTTGGCTGCGCCAGTGAGGAGGCCTTCCTCCTCCTATTCCTCCTCCTCCTCCTCCTCCTCCTCCTCCTCCTCCTTTTCCTTTCACTCTCCCTCCTTGGCGTTCGCAAGGGAGCTACGCGGCAAATGCAGCGACGCCCGCTGCCGTGGAACTGTTGCACGCTTTTGAAGTTCGGACTCTTTTAGTTGTGGCCGGTGCTATAACTGTAGTAAGTGTTGAACATTGTCTTTGTGCCCGAGGATGTCGCGCGCCACCGTGCTAGAAGATCACCAGATGCGCAATAAGGGTGCGAGGCCCTTGGACGCGCAAGTGGAAGCCAAAGTTGGAAGCCCATGGCCCATTGCTAAGGGAACCGATGGGCTGGCCGAGAGGCAAGGGTTCAAGGGCACCACCATTACTCCCTCGTATGATGGGGCTCGACTGTACGTGACAAGGCGCCCCAGCGCACCAGCGAAGGTTCAGAGACTGCGAGCGCCAGTGAGCCCCGCACCTGGGGGCACCTTCCGAGGTGGTGTCTGGACTCGGCCCTCGATGGGCCTCACCTGACGTCGATCCTCGCGCCGCGCAAAGCGCTACGCGCGGACATCCTCTCGCCCTCGCGCCGCCCTCCTCGGAGAAGCGCGGTGCGCCGCCCGCAGGCCGAGAAGCGCGGCCACCCTGCGCGCCCCTGCGGGGGACCCGGAGACCGAAGCTCCGCGGCGGTGCCGAACGCCGCGAGGCGCGCCGCGCCGTGCCCACGAGACGCCTCCAGTGGGCGAGCACATGCAAGCCCTGCGCCTGCAGAGCAGGCTCACAAACTGGCCGGGGCTCGGGATGTGAAGAATGTCTACAGAGAGCCAAGTGGGCCCCAACGGGGGTGTCCGACGACCCGACGTCGATTGGG